GTCACTGTATTTGACCATGATTTTACTAGCAGCCCTATCGGACTACAGAAATAATATTTACACAGGATTACCTTTCAAAAAATTCAGTACAACAAACATATCAAAGTTTCAGAGACAGCGCAGATCCGCAGCCATTGGCAAACGGACATCTACTTTGCCATGGCTTTGCAAAAGGGAAGCGAGGTATCCCTTTGCTCTACTCAGGAAATCATATCCCATCCCCACCCTCTTCTGGCGAACTAGTAATAGAAGACGGGTGGTGGTGAGAAAGGAGACTGGCAGCCTTTTCAATGAGGCCTTTTCAAGTAGCATCTGGACGATTTGAAAGTTGGAAAGAAACTGGCGACAAATTCCGTGTGGCAGATTTTGAACGGTTGCTAACACTGATATCAAATAACAATGATACTGAAGGAGCATGTTGAATCTGAGTACCGACTAAAAATGCAATTTCCAATAGAAATGGCTCTAGTATGGATTTCCACACTAATTCTGAATGATTATCTTTGAACGATAATTGCAGTCAATATTTAGAACTGAATGATTTAAATCTACCCTGGTGTTGAAATGAATTATTCTAGCCTACATCGTTTTAACAAGGCTTGTGACCTTATAAATAGCAGATATTTGACTGAGAAGGCTGTTAATAGGATTTAATGAATATAATAGTAGCGGTAAAAGATGATTATGATGATGAACTTAGCAATGCAATATGAAATTTTACGTTTATTTACGTATTACGTGTTATTTTTAAGTACAACCTGTCTTGTTACTTTATATTTTATCTGTAAATCATCAATGTTTTGGAATCACCTTTTCCGAGGATGCATCCTATACCAGCTGTTTCGTGGAAAGAAAACAAGTTTATTATTGTGACGTAATCGATGAATGATGTTTATTCGACAGGGTTTAGCACCAGTCCTACAGAGACGACAGCTATTTCGGTCTCCAAGACGAACGTCAAAATTGTTCTAAAATAAGCAAGAAGGAATAAATTTTTGTTTTGATTGTACGATTCAACCTTAAATCCTTAATAACTGTTTGTTAAGACTTCATCTTTTCCTTTCCCTTTAGGCATCAAACCTCGAGGGGGTCAAATGTAAACACGAGTTATCTTGGTAAATAAAACCCAGAAGCATTTAAGGCCCTGTTTATACGGGATCGGATCCAAAAAGTATCGGATCCATTTAGATCCGAACTCATTCTTGAGAGGGTGGTTACACAATATCGGATCTGGCGGCAATTATTTAACCTCAGAAGGGAGAAAATAATTTATCCTTTATAGCAATTGAGGGCAATTGTATCTGCCTCCGTATTTTTTATTGTTTCTCAATAAAGCTTGGTTTCCACTATGGGTTAACGTGAGATAATTCTGAGCTAAATTGAAAATTAACTCATGGTCTAAATTCAAGTTAACTTGAGATAGTGTGAAATAGCGTGAGATAACGCGAGCTATCTCAAAATTAACCCATGCACCGATTCGGTTTCCACTTGAGATAGAATTAAGTATTGAAATTTCAGAAATCACATTTTATTTGAGTCTTGCAGCTATGGCGGGCGTCTTACAAGAACAACTTATTTTACTTCTGCTTTTGAGAATACTTAGAAGGAAAATATTTTTTGCTAGAAGTGCCGTTCGCGATCTGCGCCAAGGTTTTCGGTACGGAGAGTCTACCAAAAAAAGATATGCGTTTGGTGAATACGACCACTTGCAACAGGATCTTAGAAATGAGAAAATGTTTCTCTTATTTCACAATTAATTTTTTTTAGTAAAGAAAACTGTTTTCAACATCTAAAGTAATACTCAGTGCAAGTGCGTTGCGTAAGAACCTCGGTGCAAATGGTAGCACATTCCCCTCCCACGCATCGGCTTCTTTTGATAAGATGTTATCTCAAGTTAACTCATGAGCTTGAAATCAAAAAATTTTGTTTCCAAGCTCATGAGATAACGTGAGTTAACACGAGTTAATTTTCATGAGATAATTTTTAATGACCGTTTCCACTATGAGATAATTTTTAAACCATGTCAGATCACAAAATTATCTCAAATTAACTCACGTTAACTCATAGTGGAAACCAAGCTTAAGATGCTCCGTGGATTTTGTTTACTTTATTTTCCAGCACAACTTTCAGCAGTAGAGCCGTCTCCTCATCGGTCCAACCAAAAACTTTGTATTTTGGTCTTTACTCAACCTCATTATTCATTTTGAAAAAGTACTATAGACTGTACAAAAGTACTTCAGTACTATAAAAGGTCGTTTTCATTTATGCGTTTTCATGAAGATTTTAGTTGAGCTTTAACGAAAGCATGTTGATATTACTCCAAAATAGTAGAGGGAGAAAAATGATGGTTTGAATACGAATTCGATGAACTGATGAACTTTCGAGCAAGGCTCAACTGCATTCCAGTTGGTGCACAAAGGCAGGATGTGGTCTATAAAATGGTCCAATATACTTGCTTAAAAATTATTTTTAGGCTGTTATGGTTCATTTGCAGGTTTATGAAGTGGTAGGGCCAAGTACTTAGGAAACACTTGTAACACAGGAGGGCGCGAAATTTGGAAGGGCATTTATCTTGGTTTACCAGTCACCAGAACATTCTAACAAAAATTGGTACTGTCACAGTAAAAAATCAAACTAATTGGGGCACTGACATCTCCTGAAAGGACACTTGCAAAGCTTTGAGGGAGGGACAGGAGGGGCAGGAGGGGCACAGTGCCCCTTGTATCCCCGGTACCCACGTCTCTGCAAACGACAATTTTTAGGTGGACATCTGCAGTCATATCACAGTATATAGACCCGGATGCTGCCAGCTACATGCCATGAAATACCATTAACCTTGAAATAAAAGAAAGAAAGCTACATTTTGACAACTACAGCACTCTGCAGCAAAATTAAAAAACCTTGTTCATGTGCTTTTACCCCTAGATGATGACTTGTGTTGGAAAAGCCAAAAAATTTATATTCCAATTAGGCTCGAGAGGAAATATTTTGCACTTATCACGTATAGAATTTTGTATGCATAAAAGCAACAACCCAAGAAAGGGAAAACGAAAATAACAATTTTTATTTTTGGACTCTTTTTCCAATTAATAAACATAATGAAAGAGAAACAATGGAATACTTATATCGTGTTCCAACAGATAAACAACTTCTATTCCAGTGGAAAGATTTTCGATTTGGTGCAACTCAAAACAGGAATAAGACCATATAAATGGCAGTGCTTGTGTTTCAATTTCAAAAATGATAATAGGAGCCTGAAAGTACCGCTGACATTTCTTAGGAGCCCGAAAATATCAACATCTTATCAGTTATGTCGAAGGAGACAAATAGAGTCGCTTTCTGCATTTTGATACCTCAGTTAGAGAATTTGATTTTTTCCCAATGAAATGGGGGGTAATTATGACACCTTAGAACCAACAATCGTGCATGAAACTGTTCCCCTAAGTTGCTCTACAAGACAATATCACATTACCTGAAACTGAATGTTTACAAACTCACATGAAGACGTCTTTGCTGCTAATGCCCATCTTTGTATAGGCCCATCATTTCCAACAAGAAGGACCCTGGCAGGATCTAAATTCTAATGATCTTCGATCGTGCTTAGTAATGGGTCCAATGTCCATATTTGTGGAACACATCGACGCATAGAATGTCTACAGCTGTAGTAAAAGGTTGTACTTTTTACGCTGAAAGGCCTGTGGCATCAACGGAATTGAGTAAACAAACGTATTTTTCGTCGTTTGATAATGACCGAACCTAAGCAGATAATATATAACCAGACGTAGCTCAAAAGTATCATGACGGGGAAAATGGCGCGTTTGATTTGGTCCTTGATGTTCACCAATCGGCAGCCGCTAACCACTCACCTATTTGGTAACCTATCTTTTATGAGATATAAATGACATTATCAGTTGAAAATAAAGCCATTACCATTAACTAGCTATTACTACTCGCCCCCAATGTTCGAGATTTTTAGCAAGCTTTATCCAGAAAAAGGTTCCTTTGTCACTTAAATCTTTAAACTGAAATGAACAGCGTCACAATTTGAAAGAAATTCATAGCGCAAATACTTTTAAGGTATTCATATGGGAAATGGTATCATGATACCAGCTATCACGGTATTAATAGGCAGTAGTAGGTAGTAGCAAATCCCGGCGACCGGCAAGCACATTTTTGGACTCTTCTGCTGAATTCCAAGCCCCAAGGGCCCTTCGAAATAACCCTGGGAGAATAGCGCTAAATCTTTCATCAGCTCCAATCTTGGATTGATGCCACTTTTCCTGTACCCGTGGGAATCCAGAAACAGGCTACTCCCACGAAATTCCAAGTAGAATTCGTCAATTCTTGCGTTTTGTTGATTAATAATCGCATTGGATTATGGGTTACAAAACCATCGGTCAAATGATGTATAAAATTACATCAAAATCCCACTACTTTTGCAGTCCCAGAAGTACCCACGTCTGCAAAATAATTCTAAATTGTCTCTGGCGAGTATATATGCTTTATGCTAATAAAACCCTATTTTAATCTTCATAATCTACAAATGACTTTTTAAAATTCTTCAAAGGTGTAAATGTAAAGATTGGAGAAACCAAAACACGAAGACTTGCGCAGGAACAAATTGACATGACCATATAACTCACTTGAACCAATGCATCAAATAATGCTGGTTTATGCTGGTTGCTTAAAATTCAAACGAACCAGATTTGGATGAAAAATTTAACGAAGCAATCTTATAACCCATATGAAAACATATTGATGTATCACCAAGTCATTTGATTGGCCATTGAACATCAAAATGTAGACACGGAAACATTACACCTCAAATGATATTTCTGTTTTCGTTTTCATAGACGTAAGCTTTGGCCCCAATTACTGGCTACCTGTGAATACCTAATTAATACCCTGATCTTAAAATATATTACTAGGGTTGCACAGACCAAGTGATTGCCTCAAATTACACATACATCAGGCCTCGAAAATAAAAAGAAAAGCAAGGCTATATTTTGAAATACCTAATGATATTTTTTTAAATCTTTGAGTTATGCTTACAATTAGGCACTTAAAATTCAAACCCTAGGTCTTTAAAAACATTTATGTTAGAAAGTTCCAGCGTTCAACAATTAATGATAATGTCATGAGTCTAAACACCAAGAAACTGAATTTCCTTGACTGTTAAATTCTGGTAAGTTGATGCCAAATATGGGCTGGAAAGATATCTTCAACTTTCTGAAGCATTATGGAAAACGGAAAGGAAACCCACGTGAATATCTAGAACAAAAGACAATAAAAGAATGAGCCATGTAAACCTAACAAGGGACATGCAACTAATTTACAGATCACCAAGGGGGGCTCTATTTTCTTCTTAAATCGATTTATTTGCCCCCGGCTACTGAAAACTGCACACATACCCTCAATTAGCGGTGAAACAGATTCTTTTTGGTCACTGATTGATTTCAAACCGTAATATGAATCTTGTATCTTGTTTTTACGGGGGTTTTGGCTTTAAGAAACAGATAAAATCACTTGAATATGAAGATGGAGTCACCCAATAAGAAAATTTCTTGAATTTTTCACCAGACCTCAAAGGTTACACTGATAGTGTCGACATTATTTGAATTCTTCTTCCGCCATTTAAAAGTTTTTGATAATCCTTTGAAATTACAATTGGAATATGGAATTCAGATAGGGAAGTTTTCAGGGAAGAGGTTGGTAGGATGGCTACTTGTTGTCTAGATTCTTTTTCATTTGTTTAACATGCTTCGAAGGAAAATCTTATACAGGCAAATTAACATTGACCTCTAAAAACTGGCGCTGTCTTAGGTCAATGCGCACAAAGAAATACTTAGCCTCTTGTGGCAACATCGAGAGACTTCTATGTCACGACCACACCTATGAATTATTTGATGAGGCAGGGAACCATATAGCATAACAACTCGATAAGCTAGTGACAGTAGTGATGTAAAAGGATACTGAGGAAGCAACCATGAAAAATGGTTAAATAATTAACTGTTAGCATTTCCGTGGTCATAGTTTAAGATTGAAAAATGGCCTTCTGAAGCAATGAAGGAAAAACCCAGAAGAACACGTTTTAAAATTAATAGGATTTTCCACGAAATAATCGATTCAACTGAACATGTATCTAAGCCTGAAGGAACAGTTCAGTAATGAAAAGCTGTCGGACCAAAAGCCGTCTGTCCATAGATGTCGGACCAAAGGCTGTAAGATCGAAAGCTGTCGGACCAAAAGATGTCAAATCGAGAGCGGTTAGGTAGAGAATTGCAGGATCGAAAGCTGTTGAATCGTGAGCCGTCGGACCGCTTTTGTTTCCTTTCTACGACCTTTTGAATTAAGTTAAAAGTTCAGCTATCGTGTAACTTTCCTCTACTGTTCCTCGTGTCAATAACCAAAACAAATAGGAGGGATGACATTATAACAAGTATAAGGACACTGTAATTCTACTTAGGAGATATTGAACCCACTGGGGTTAAGCTTCGTATGGTTATTCTATAATGGAAATTAAATATATGCTCACCAAATGGGCTGCTTTGGCCATGGGGTCTGGGAACTGGTGCGTAAGCAGCGCTACTAGAGCTGAGAATGCACACAGTGCAGCCGAAAAGAGAATAAAGAAAGGCAGCTCTTTTTGTGGATAAACAGAAACATCGTGAAAAGCTGAAAAGTAATAAAATGATGATTTAAATGTTGTTTTACATATCATATCATAACATAACAAACATAACATAACACAACATAACACAACATAACATAACATAACATAACAAACATAACATAACATAACATAACATAACATAACAAACATAACATAACATAACATAACATAACATAACATAACATAACATAACATAACATAACATAACATAACATAACATAACATAACATAACATAACATAACATAACATAACATAACATAACATAACATAACATAACATAACATAGCATACATAACACAACATAACATAACATATCATATCATATCATATCCTAACATATAAAAAATTTCATATAATAATAGAAATTACGTTTAAATTCCTAAACTCTAAATGGGCTAGGCTTGAATGAGTTGAAACTAAAAAAATTTCGTACCTGGAAGAAGTTCTCTATCTGCAGATTCAGTGCATGCTGGATAAGGATGAAATAAATGGCCTTTCTCCAATGGATAAGGAAGAAGTCTAAAAGCTGAAATCAAAATAGCAAGTTCCAGTTTCCATCCATTACATTTTTAGAATTATATCCATTCATAAATATAGGAAAATATGTTAAAAATCTCACAAGAAATTTCCAACATAAAAATATGAAATTTAGTGTGTAAAATCTTAAGACCTAATCTAGCCATACGCATAATTTGCTTGAGTTCAATTGATTTGATCAAAAAATCATGATTATTTCAAAGATAGCTTTCTAAGCTCTTCCACTTGCAAATTATCCAACACGTTTTAAGCATTAAATGTCAAACCTATTCGTGATAGCTTTTGAATTTACAAATGGAACAATTTTAGGAGTTTATTCGGTGATGATCAACCTTCCATTTTAATAAAAATTAAATAGAAATTAGTAAAATGGTTATTTAATTCATAAATTTGCAAAACAATCTTAAATTTCAAACTGCTTTTCTGCAACGCTTCTAAGGTACAGGCTTGTCTAATGCTATCGGTACGTCTACCAGCTTATATTTCCGGAATGCTGCAATCAACAAAACATGATACACTAAAAATAAATCAGCTCACTTCCTTCCCATGTGCAGTGCAGAAGATTTAAAGCTCCGTCGACTCTTTTCCAATGGGGTAAATGAAAAAAGGCATAAGCGATTGCTTCACTGTCACCCCTTTTGAGAATATGTTCCGGGGGTAGAGTTAAGCTTTTTTGCTCCAGTAGATACTGCAACAAAAAAGCAAAGAACCTAGCATTCAATGGAAATTAACAATAGGAAAGTAAAATGTGAAACCCCCTCACATGGGGGAGAGGGGGAGTGATATGATTGCAAAGGAGACACTATCAGGTCCTTTATATCATATTTCTTCTCAAAATGTGTTCTTGGAGAGAAGACTGTAGTAAGAAATAAAAGCGTCTAAAACAGTATCTCTTATACAACTAACTATCAGGCACATGTACATCGATGTATACGTTGATTGATTAAAATATGCTATAAATGTTCTTCATATATCAGAATGAAAATAAAGAGCCACTAATGCTACCTGGATTGTACAACAAACACGGAAGGTTTTATTTAGTTTCAAAAGAAAAGAGCTCAGTAAAAGACGCATGGGTAGGATTTTATTTAGATCGGGACTATGCAAATGTGATCAACTTGTTTAAAAGATTGAGAGGATCAAAAGTGTGTCTAGGATTGGTAGTTCTCATGTTAACAAAGTAAGCAAAGAGCGTGGGTATGTGTCAGTATCAAAACTCCAATCAAGAGCAACACGACTTTGATACTTTGCTATTAGAGAACTTTGTCAGAAATCTGCCACATCAGCCAAGAGAGTATGAGGAATCCCCTAAAGTTCGTGACAACGATTAAGCATAAATCTCAGTTGTGATTGATTTACTATTTTCTCCGTAACGCTTCTACCTTCTCCTTTCCTAATTGACTTATTGGCACTTAATGCATCTAAAATAGAACAATACCTTGGGTACATGCGGATTGAATTCTACTGCTCTGTGGATTGCCTCGATTGCACTAATTTCAGCAGGGCTGACACCCTTTTTACCAGCATTTTCGGGCGAGAATCTACACAAAGACATATCATTATAAAGAATGAAGCAATAATAAAATAATACTTACAAAAATGTATCTTGCTTAATAATGGTAAAATTTATAAGGTGAAGAATAAAGGCAGCAATATTTATTTTTTATTTCTGGAGGGCTTTTTGTCAAATTAGTTTCTGGGAGCTTGTCCTACCATATTTATCAGAAGTTAACTTTAAGCTCTGCCATATACCGTAAGAGGACAATAAAACAACTAATAGCGTTACATGAAGTAATAGAAAAACGCGTATGTTGTAAGGTGTTGAGATTTTTGTCGAATTATTAGACGGAAGAATAAAAGCATTCTTTTCATAAAATCAAGCTGCACCACTGCCTAAGATGATTTTGAAAGCTGATATTTATGCAGAGGAATTTGACAAAATAATTTTTAATATAGTATAAAGACAGTCTCGCTTAAAGTAAATAACAGGAACAACGATAACTCACTTATCTGCAACAGCTCTCGCTTTAAGAAGAGCCGCTGTGTAACATATAGTGGCTGACTTCGGTAGACTTATATCTGTGGAAAAAACTTGGTGTTATCAGAACAAGAATGAAGAATGTTGTGTCTGACCTAAAATTAAGAAAATACTCTTCGGTGTTGAATCGGTTGCGCCTTAATTAGCGTTGATCTATTTTTCAATCCCCTGTTTTCATCTGGACCCCTATTCACACTACACATTCTTTCTTCGTTTATCATTACTGTTTTTAATCTCAGAATTCGGTGAAAATCTGATAAACTTAGTCATCTTGTGTTGTCTTTGGAATTAGTTTTTTCTCGATAATTTCTGGTTGGCATTATAACATTCATGCTGTCGTTTTCCAAGTTAAAATCATAGTGAAACAATCATAGTGTTTATATTTAAGGATCACGTTAACATTGAAGAGAGCGCTGTTTCTTAATGGAGTTTGTGTCACCTTCATGCCAAATATCTAAGAGGTGCTAGAAGTAGAAAAAAAGGGAGATGGGAGAAGAAAAAAATAAACCAAAAGATAGAGAAAGAAAATGTGAAAGTTAAAGAAGAGATAGAGGATGGATAGCAGCAAGAAGGAAGGAACTGGAAGTGGAGGAACAGTAAAAAGGAAAATGATGGAAAATGAGATCGAGAAAGGCGAAAGGAGCGTGGTAAGGAAAAGAAAATAAGCCAAGAAGGTAACAGATGAAAAAAGAAACGTGAATGAGAAAAATTAGGTATGAATAGAAATGGGAAGATGAGTAGAAAAAAGAAGATGAGCAATAAACGAAAATCACGAGGAATAAGGGGGGAAAAGAACAAGCTGAGAAAGATAATTTATAATTCATTAGACGATTAAGGCATAATTCATTAGACGAAAATACTTACCATCATATTTTGTCAGTACTTGCTGCAAGAAAACAGAAAATGGGTTAGAGAATCGATATCTTCATCTTTGCGATGCTAAAAACCATACATGAATTTAAGTAAGAATCTGGGCTAAATGTTTTGAATAGTTTCAAAAAGAACGAAGTTCTCAAAAATTTATTTCCTTCTTTCATTATAATGGTGCCAAATTTTGACATTTGGTGTCTAAAGGCAAAATAATAACACTGAAATCTGCAAGAAGGTATTGAGAATAGCAATGATCATTTCACACGGAAAAGGGTAAAACTATAGTATTTTGTTAGTCTTGGATTGCCTGTTTGCTTACTGTTTGTAGCAAGTGTTATGACGGAGCTTAAAGACTACAATAAATTGGCGGGAATAATAATTGTAGCAAGATAATGGAAATTCAAGGCATTGACAACGTTGGCAATGTTAGCAAAAATCAAAAGAATTATACTAATTTACCTGAACATCTGAATAAGCCTGCATTTCAAGCAAAGCTTCAATTAAATTTTCATGGATATTTAAACCAGCAGGATAAGGATATTCCTTTAAAAGCTGCAAAACAGAGATAAAAAACTGGACTAATGCGCGTACAAATGCTTATGTGCTTGGAGAGCAGATACAAAGTTTAATAGCTAACACGCCTATTTGAAGATTTGAAAATCAAGCAGTATTGCAGCTAATATCTTCAAACATCAGCATAAAATCTTCTAAAAGATCTGTTATTCTTTAATCATAAACATGAATCTTGAAGTGTAATGTTTAGCGCCCTTATTGGCACAGATCAAAAGAAATTAGGTACATATTTATTTCCAATAAATGCTTCCCAATGCAGATTGACAGCACTCAGTAGAACTTTGTGCAACTGCAGTGGCAGTGGTGGCAGCAGTGGATATCACATGATCGGTAGCAACCTGTTTTTCTAAAAAAGCCGTCAAGGGAAAAAAGTACTCACATCTTTCATCATTTTTACAGCTTCCTTTACACGGCCTAATTTCCTTGCACACATTGCTAAACGTCTTCTTATGTATACGTGGACATTCGTATCTCTTCCTGTGTGAGAAAATTCACTACGTCATCCTGGGTTTACATGCAATCTGGTGTTCTACAGGGATCCCATAAAAACTGATGCTATATTTTTTATCTTCAAATCAAGCAGATACGGTAAAACATTAAATATTGTGTTGACAGTGAAACGCAAGAATAGAAAGATTCAATTGATAATTTCTCATCTTTATTTCTCAGATTAAAAGATAGAGCCTTCGTGCCTTTTATACGGGCAATCAAATCAACATGGACTGTTCAGTGGTAAGGGTCGCTGACTACAGATCCAAGGGTATGCGGTTCGAGCCCCGGACTTGACAAAACTTCACCTTAAAGTTATGTCTCCACCAGCTCTCTGTATTTCCAGCCGTAGGAATCACGATGTGTGGTCACATCGAAAGGAAGGACCAGGAAACACTACCTTCAAATACTAGGTAGCAAGTATAGTACAATATAATAAATCAATATTGTCAATTAAAATTCATTGTGGCTTTTAAAATGCCTAACAGACATACTTTGCACAGATTCTGAATCATCGTTAGTCGAAGGCGAGTTTTTTTGTCGTATCCACGTCTCACTTGCTTTTAATGCCTGCTTAAATTGGGACTCAGCCTAAAAGAAAATGTCCATGTATAATCAGATGATAAAACGAAGGTAACAATTAACCACGTACCGTTTGAGCTCCGTTTTAACCACAGAAATCATCAAATGCAAAAGAATTTCATTTAGAAAAAGCTAGCCTTGAAAAATAAAATATAATGAAACAAAGAATTGGACACCGAGAGACAAGAACATACCATGTGCACGAATGATAGAAAAAGAACTGAATTTTGATTACAATTAAAAATGTATGAACAAAGAACAGATTCGTAGCCTTGGCTGTCCAAATCAACGTTGTTTGATTTACAAATTGCACTAATGACGAACACTTTACATAAGTAAACAGATATGGAAAAATAATGATGGCTGACAAGAATTTATAGTCAGTCAGCCTACAAATAAGGACACCAAAAAAGGTACTGATATTTCAAATAATACTCTTTGTTTGCTCATCTTACTGTGTTTCCCATCGGTATATTTCCTATAGTTTAGTGACGTTATAAGATATTTGAAAAGAGGAAAAACAGGATAGGCGTACAGACCTTCCAGTTATAGAACGATATATAATAGAATTTGATTCAACAAAAGAGACAAGTCTATGGTGGCCCATCGTTATCAACACAATTTTAGCATATATGTATATAGAAAAATAATCAATAACTATTTTCTAAAATTTTATTAATTTTAAATTAATTTTTTTAGTTATTTAATAATAAATTTAATAATAAAATTTAATAAATTAATTTTTGTAATTCTATTTTGTCACTGGTACCTCATCCTGTGAACAGTACGAGAGATTCAGGTGGTGCATGCAAACCACTTGTGCCTTGGTGCATAAGCAAACTATTTTGAACATTCACTTCAAGCTTTTTTAAGGCTTTGAAGAAAAAAGGTTACTTGTTATCCTAAAAACTTACGTGTACTTTCAACAAACATAAATTTTTATTCTTTCGAAAAATAAACTTACATCTTCTATCGTTCTAGATTCTTCTTCTGATAACAATATATAGGCAGTTGCACAACTGAAAAACAGAAGGAAAATTTTATGCACATACTTACTATTCACAGATAGGTATTAAACCGCTATCCGAAACGTCTTTAAACAGTACAAGGAGCTAAATTAACTTCTAAAGAAATGCATTCTGCTATTTCGTCGTGCAAACATGCTTGTTTATATAACTGTCTCCAACATCGGAGTCAAGTGCTAGTTTTGGTAAAGCAACAGGCTCTCGAGTAGGTAACTTCGGCATTTCTTTGCATCTTCAAAAGTTATCCATATTGATGAAAAGTTTATTTCTTGATGTTTCTACATTAAGTCTCACAATTACTTGATGTTAATCGAACTTTAACCTTTTTTCATTAATCTTTCCGGGCATTTATAGTGCCGAAAATGGAGAATAAGTAATAAATAGGAAGGACGCAGATTTCAAGAGCTGGTTGAAAATCACAGCGTACTTTGAAGATTCACTTGCAGCGTCATGGGCCAGAGCTATGCGCTTTGCAGGATCTTTCTCTTTCCATGCTTGTACCATTTCTGAAACCAAACAACAAATCAGTCTGTGTTCATGGTATCTTTTTTATTTTGAAATAAGTCCGTGAAGTTACTGCAACAGTTAACTTATATTATTATGCCAATCATAACAACAAATACTACAGGATGTTAGGTTGAAAGACAGAAAATCATTAAAATAATCAACTGATGCCAAAATTATACAAAAAAAGCCCCATACAAAGTTTTTGGACAGACATCAGGGTTTCAATATTGATTTCAATTCTTGACTACTAGCGTAGTTAAAGCAGAATACAAAATTCAACTTTTGGAATGGATGCTATAATAAAAGAAAGAATCGAACTCGATAGGAAGCAATTACATACTATTGTCACCAGGTCTTGCTTTAGCTGCATCAGAATCAACCTCACATGTAAACAAGGACTACAAAATCAAAATAAAAAGCGTTTAGAAATTAGATAAATATACAGGCTCGATGCAGCCCAGCAATTGTGCTTCGTTATCAGCTACTGCCACTTCACCCTTGCCCCCTTTTGAACGCCCATGTTAATACTTCTTGGTAGTTTTATGAGCCATGTATAAATTCGTATATGATTAATTTAGATATTTGGAGAATTTTATGAAATCGTTAAAGGATTTTAGTCTACAATTAAAAATTTATGCATGGCTTTTATTACTGTTCTATTCTGGGCCAAAAACGCAGTATGAAATTTTTATTGAAAGACAGAAAATAGTCTATTAATCAAATCGCCCACTCTTCTATCAAGATAAGAAATGAAAAAGAGGTGAAACGAATACGAAATAGTGTCACTGCTGCCTTGATCATCGTGATCTCACAATATTTGCAGTGAATGGCATGGTATCGTAATGGATTAGTTATTTAGGCCGTTTGAACATACGAGAACAGGGCCATACAATCCTATGTGTAAATGCAGTGCAAGAACTACCGGCTAAGTCTATTTTAAAGTGGTTCACTTCTTGACGATATTGTATTTTGACCTAAACAAAAGATAACGTGGTTTGAAGAAGGCTAGTTTGAGTCAGATTAAGACGACTAAGAATCCGGTTCTCCCCAAATAAACGATTCTGAGTTACGACGAGCAACGACGATTGCATGTAAGAACACATATGTTTTTGTTAAATCTAAAACTTTCAGGTGACCTTGATCGTTCTACTGTATAACACCAAGTCAATTGGAATTGCCTACATTGCCTTTCCTTAAAACATGGCAAAGACATTTACAAAAGATTCAATTAGAACGAACAAGACCCCAGATAAAAGATATTCCAGTTCAGTGTAGTTACTTGTCCACCACTCTGGATTGGGGCTTCTTACATGAATCCTGGTACATTTGTTTGAAAATTTTTCTGCAAGACTGAATAGCCCACTTGCCCCTTCCAGGAGACCAATGATATCATTTACCTGCTTAACTTTAATAGAAATTCAATAGAAAAATGATTGAAGTGTGCAGTTGAGGTCACTTGCAACCAAAATATCTATCTGCTCAAGAACCAATTATATAGAGGAAAGTAGAGTAGAGTAAAAAATATAATCACTTACAAGATGATCTTTCATTGATAATGACAGGTCATAGCTTGTCAGAGCATCCAGACGCAAAGTCCATTTTAACCTAGAGTAGAAAAATTATGATAGCATCAGAATTCATACTGAAGGAAAGAAATACATAAAAGGATCCCTTCAAATCGTAAGAAAGTTATTTTAGACAATTTTAAGCCTACAAAAAACTGGCCTTGCACTAACACAAAAAATTGGCTCTCTGTAAATTGTTGTAAACAATATATATACATAGAATATATATTTTTTGAGAATGAGTATTCAGTTTCCATTTAGTTCTAGCTAGCATTGAAAGTTTGAAGAACCATCTTAAATAATGATGCAAATGTTGAATGGAGAAATATTTGTTTTGGTCAATGCTAAGTTGTTAACAAAGAAGGAAGTGGCCTGACCCTCCTGACTGGGACAAGGGGAGTGGGTGGAGGGTCATTGATAGCAAAATTTCTAGACAAAGACATAGATGGAGAAACAATTTGGTGCTGTATCACCTACAAATAGGTGAAAATTATGATTATGAGTAAAAAGTTCACTTTAGAGTCAGTTAGCTATAAACTTTATGAAATATGTTTACCACAATAAATCAGCAAAAATCAAACAGAATATCTGCCAGCATATAAAATTTGCAACTTGATAAAGAGTGTACAGAATTTTATGTCAAAATCAATATATTGAAGCATTTTTACAATTTAAAAAATAGTACATGATTGCCTTTTTCATGTAACTTTAAAAAAACTTTTGATAATCTAATTATAGCAGATCATGAAATGAGTAAAATATAAAAGGAAAAAAGAGTCAAAGTATTTGAAGCATCTTGTGTATCATAATATATAAGACAAACCTTTGATACTCAGCACCTCTGAAAAGACTCATAGGGTTTCTCCACATTTTGCATTCTACAATAAAAAAACATTTTGATTCAAGGATTCAAAAACATTGTCACGCTCAAACTTAATTGTTACACCATTAGTAGTCATCATAAACGTGATAAGACCCTCTTTTTTATTTTAAGCCATTAAACAAATGAGATACTTTACTTCATAAGAAAATTGATTGATACAGACCTGCTTTTAAGTTTTGCACTTGTTGTGGATCATCACCAACTCCAAGCAATGGGCCAAGGTGCAAAACTGAGAACTGCTCAATGAAAGATGTCCCAAACTTTCTAAAATACCACCATTCAAACATCTACAATAAAAGACAAAAGGCCTAGTCAATTCCAGATTCAAAAACTTTTGAAACTTCTGGATATCATCCAGTGTGAGATTTTCCAAAAAAGAAAGCCAGACATATCTGGTATAAGATTTTCCAACAAAGAAAACCAGACACATCCAGTGTGAAATATCCTATTTGACTTCAAATCAAACAAAGGACCCTTATCTTATGAAGGCCATAATTTGATAAATATTCAAAGCAAGGAATGCTTATTGCTTGCTAAAAATACAAGACAAACTATTAAAAATGATAGAAGTATTGATAATGGCTAAATACTTCATGATCTCTTTTTTGTCCAAAATAACACTTAAAATCAGGTGCACCAAAAACATAACTAAAGCAAACACATATTGATATTTTGTGAAAACAATTTTTTCCTAAATGGGGCAAATCAAAGATTTCGTAACTGTTTTAATTCATATTATATTCACTTTGCATCAGACACCTCTTAATTTTTCAAAATATTTAGTAGTTAAAGTATCAAGATTCCTTTTTCATTATCGTGAAAATTAATCAATGATATCATAGCTATCAACGTTAGTTGTTATCATCAAAATAATTCTGTAACTTTTAAAAGCTTCTATTTTTTTCATTTTCAAAATAAAATTTTTTTCTACAATATTTTGACTCATAACAAACAGAGACTTTGGGGTGCAAAAGCATGTTACATACCAATATAAGTCCTGATATAAGTGATGATGTTCCAGTTAATGCAACATAGAATTTTGGAGTTAAACCAGACATAAATATTGATGCTACAAACCAGAAAAGGAAAGAAAATAAATTATTACACCATTCAAAAAATATGAGATAGAGGCAACAAAGCCAAATATATACAAACACATACTGGTTTTTTAATGGAAGATTGTGCTGCAAGTATTTACACAAAGTACAAAGTATATACCAACATTTATGATAAGTTGCAGCTTATAAAATTATAGACTGTGAATTCTTTAGAAAGTTTGTGACAAATTCTAGAATGGTGTCAATTTTCTTCTCATTTCTTGTCACATCATAGCATTACCAAATGATAATTCAAGTAAGAAGATTTATTCAGTATTAACATATACGTCCATACCAAAGGTAAAGTATTTATTGAAACAATGATGTAGAATGTATTACAAATAAGCAATGTTAAGCTAATTATACTGCTCATTCGTTGACAACAGAAATTCAACAGAAATTTCACCTAAGAGTTCTCAATTATATGCAATAAATTTAATTTCCAAAGGTCAAAAAGGAAAATTTTGACAAAAAAGTTCAAAATAAATTTTCAAACAAAATCAATAAAATTGGCAATTTTTTTTCTAATACATGAGTTGGAGAATATGACGAACAACCCAGTAACATATAAAATGTATAATAAACATTAAACTGTTGAATTTTGAAACTTTTCAATTTTTTTAGATAATTGCATAGCTTTCTCATTCACAACAGTTTACATTCAAATTTTAAACGGTATTTGTGATCAAACATTTAATATCATTTTCGCACAGTGAAATAATTCATAGAGTTGATTGTAGTTTGTATCATGTAAGCATATTTTTTGTTTAATTGTTATTTGGGTGATGTTTATGTATTTCACAGTTGTACTGTGGGAAACAGAAGCAAACATGTCTTATAGTTCCAAAACATCCTGTGTTTTGTAAATTATATTGGATAGAATTGTGATATCAATAAGAAGACTCAGCATTCTAAGAGCCCTCCGAGGGGTTTCTGTTCATATGAATGAACTTTCTGGAGAATGTGCCACTAGACACGTTCAGCCTGCTTATTGACTTTCCTCTCGCTATGGTCCTGGATAATAGAGTTATATCTCTTTTGTGGTATACCATTTCCCCTTGGGCGCTGGTGAGCTAGTTACAAAGCTGTTTAAACAGCTCTTGAGCAAAGGTACCTTAAGCAAACGTGTAGTCAAATTAGTTCTAAACTAAACTATGTTCATAAAAGCTAGGAATTTATAAATGAATCACTATTGGCATTATAGAATATAGCAGGATAAAAAAACAACTATATAAATAACTCGTTAAACAAAGGCAGAAAATGTGAAATGGTAAACACATCGAACCTTGGAAAACAATTGTTTTAAGCTACGACAAACCATGAAAGAGGAAAGAAATTGTGAGCTTCTTTTCAAACTCTTTCTCTATAAATACTTGATAAAACTCTGGCCAGACAGACAGCTATTTCAATATGGTTGTCGAAAAACAATAACAATAATA